TTTTGTAAATGGTGTTTGTGCAACTGGCGATCTCATCGACGCCCTCATCAACCTCCTCGGAGGAGGACAGGCGGAGCGTCGAGCCCTCTCACTGGGGGGAAAAAACCGCAGCGCGGGCTTCCGAACTCCGAGAGCGGGCGCTGGATCTGGTGGTTAAGGAAGAAGATAGGGACTCGCCCGTCTACATTGCCTCCACCGGATCCATAGGCGAAACCCACGAGCACCGTGGTGCCGTGAGAAACGCCGGTGAAGACTCCCTCCTCAAAGAGAGCCCTCGGAGAGCAAGCATACGCAGTGACAAACGCTCTCAATGCGGGCAGTCAGCGGACTCTGCGTGTTTTGCTCCCACTTTTAGCAGACAACACACAAACTGTGTGTATCCCCACCCGAAATGTAGCGCGGGCAGGGAAGAACACACAGCCTATATATTGCCAGCTCTCGCCGTATGTTTGTCTACACTCGTATTGGTAAAATAAAGAATGATAATGGACAGACAACACCAAATAAGACTGACACACACAGAGCGCTTGCTGAATGACAGAAAGCTGACGCCGGTTTCACCGCACGTGCTTTTATACTTCCTGGTCGTTACGTCACCCCGCCCGTGACGTCTCGCCCATCCATTGGACTGATTACACATGTGATTCAGAGCGTGGTCACGCTGGAGGCGTTCCCGTAGCGTTTCGACGCAGCTCGAGTTCCTGAAGGGGAACCTGTAATTGTGCAGAGCGAGTTTGGCAAGATATGAATTAATACATATTTCACAACTTTTCTGGTATATCTGAAGCTTCTACTACCTATCAGGCAGAGTGTTTATGGTGATATCATTGCCTTTGCTCTCCATATAACACATTGTTTCTCTCTCCTATATATTAGTGAATCAAATAATTTATCAGGGGCCATGTTTGACAGGAAGCATAATACCCTCTTCCCTTTAAGTGCAGCCGCCTCTGAAAGAGCTATTCTCTACCATCCCTCTCTGAAGAATATTTACCTTTTATCTTTTTCCCCTCACAACCCTCTATTTCTTTTACTCCCCAAACCGACAGTTATTGTTTGACTTTCATAAAAGACAGAAATGTCTCTGTTCTAAGATAGACAACAAAACACAAGCTAATTTCAGGGAGTATCAGAAAGAGAATGCGTTACCAGGTCAGAAAAAGTTTGAGTATTTTGATTATTTGTTTCCTTTTGAACACTGACAGTACACCCAATATACAAAAGTATATTTTCTCTGTATGTAGCACTGCTTTGTCATGTTAACATTATTTGAAGTGCAGCTTTATTGTGTGTCCTCGTTCAAGGGTGACTTTTCATTCTTTTTTGACCTTTATATCAGATTTCAACCAATATGGCTTATTTATAGCCCTGCTGCATAATATCTAATAGGATCAACTTTATGTAATTTCACTGAAGAAACCATATGGGGCAGAATTTATCTTGTTTCTGACATATATCATTGAGGTTTTTAAGTAAACATAGTGTGGTGGATTGAGATATCCACATTTAAAAAGAAGGAACTTCACATTTTAGAGAAAGAAATAACTTAAAAGTGAGACTACAGAAGTTATTTTATAAAAATTATATATTTTTCTTAATGTTATATGTACATTAGACAAATAAATGCACTTTATGGTAACTGTGCCATCCTAGGAAAAATACATTTATAAAATACATTAATTTTTACGTTACAGTAATATTTCACAATAATTCTGTTTTATTATTTTATTAAAGTGAGATTGTGGACCCCCAGAGAAGCACATTTGGGATATACACATCCTTCTAAAAATTGTATGGCTTAGTGATGGTCCAAATATTCACAAACCTTTTGTTTTCAGCACTGCCAAACAAAGTTAAGACTTTGATCTCTCTAACATATAAACATTCTTTTTATGTAGCTGTGGTTGTGTAAGCTGTCAGAAGATATAAGACTGTAGATATAACATGAAGCATAAGGAAAAAGACAGGCCTGTCTGGTGTACCTGATACTGACAGATATTGAGACACTGATGGATTAGAGGGTGAAATCGGACATGCATTTCAGATTATATGACTCCCACACATTCAATATTGAGTAGCTTGGGTTCAGATTGATCAGGGATCTCGCTGCTGTCTTTCTCAGGTCGCTGGATTTCGATCTTCCCCTGAACTCGAAACATACCTGTCTGAATAACATTACAAAGCCCTGGAGCCTCCACTGTCAGTTCTCACTTTCTCAGCCATCAATATGAAAACTGATAGATTATATCACATTTATATAATCTTAGAGAGACACAGTAAACACTTGAAAATATCTCCTCCAGGATCTGATTAATTACATAAAGGTAAAGTAAGGATGGCAGTGAGATGCACTGTTGCAAGTGGCACATTTGATGTGGATGGCATTGGTCTTGCTGGATCCTATTTAGGGGGCTTTAGCTTCTGTGCCTTTCATGTGAGCTCCTATAAAAGCTGCCAGGAAAAAATATATAAAAATCTGCTGTTTGATCTCTCTTTATGTTTGCTGGAAAAAAAAACCTGCCACAAGGAGGTATAGTAAATATAAGAGTGGTAGGCTAATGCTAGTATGCACTTCAGAATTCAGCAAGACACTTGTTTTGTTATGGAATGAATCAGCGTTTTTGAAACAAATCGAATAGATTCAAAACGTGGGGCCTCTTGCATAAGAAATAATTCAGGTAAACGGTTGAGCCCCAAGAAAAATATTGTTTAGAAGAATAAATGTTGTGGTCTTTGCTTATAAGTGAACCAGCTAACAAAAAAATATGTTTTAGTTATAAGTTATGAAAACGTTATTTCTGAATGTTCTCTGAACATTCAAAACATCCAGTTCGTTTGTTTTTTGTTGCTAATGTTAAGGAAACATATAATTTTCCAAACATTATAGGAATGTTACTTTTGATTGTTCTCTGAAGATTCTGAAACACATAGTCCCATTAAAAAAAAAAAACATTTAGAAGGGCTGAGAAAATCATTTGAAAGGTGTGATAGGAGTTGATTACATATCTTTGTGTTGCGATCGTCGTAATTAAATAAACATGTGCCTGCCATCCTTCATTCATGACTCCTTATATTTTAAAGATGCTATTCTTAGATGACTCAAACTAATTAACTGATCGACAACCGCAGGCAGCATGAGCGCGAGTTATCAGTCTCACCCTAATTTGCACTCTTATCCACAGAGATCTGTGAACTGATATCTCTCTTAATTCAAGCCATGCTAATGGCTAATTAATATGAGAGTCATGGGGCTGTCAAAGACATGGCACAGCACAGAGCTAAAGGACACTAATCCCCATTGATTAGAGTTCTCAGATCAAAGGCTTCCAGCACTGTCACTTCACCTCTATTCTCCCTTACCCACTCGCGCCGCAATTAGGAGCCCTCTCGGCGTTTCATTAAGATGTTAAAAATACCAAGTCGCCTCCCCCTCAAGGGACCTAAACACTGAGACTCATACCGAAATCCTCATTTACCATTGTGAGAAACAAATTGTGGCATCTCCCTGAACATTTCAATCAGGTGGAAAGCCCCACTCATGCCTGCAATTCACTAAAGCAAATGCTGAGTCCTCAGTAACTCTGGACTCTACTGCACATGCAATGATAATGAGCTCATCTTCCACCAGGGATGAAAAAAGTACATTTAATTAGCAAGAGAAAGGTTTGTTCAAATGTTCAAAAACACTGTCTCTTATTTATTTCACTTTTGATAAATATCAGTTAAAGCATATTGTCATATTGTGTGTGTGTGTGTGTCCTGGTGTTCCCTATGTTATAGGGATAGTATAACACAAGTAATTTTTGACCTTGTGGGGGACATATTTTTGGTCCCCATGAGGAAACAAGCTTATAAATCCTATACAGGATGATCTTTTTTGAAAATCTTTAGGGGTAGGGTTAGGGAAATGGGATTGAAATTCCAGTTTGTACAGTATAAAAATCATTACGTCTATAGAATGTCCCCACAAAACATGGAAATGCAACGAATGTTTGTGTGTGGAAGAAATACAGCTGGGAGAGATACATTAGAACTGCTCCCACATACGGAGTCTTATCTTACCTTAAGTGCCAGTGCTGATGCTCTTCCTGTCTCACCACACAGAAGGATAATCTGCGCCTGAAAGAAAGAGGAAGCACATCACTGAACTGAGCCATACGTATGCATTCATACACACTCCCAGTAGGCATTCATAAATTTACTTGTACACATAAAACACATCCATGAAACCATTTTGTTTGTTTGTTTAGTTAGATCTCAAATCTCAAAACCCCCAAATTGTAAACATAAATCTTAATAAACAATAAATTATATATGATATGATATTATTAAATATTATATAATATTATGAAACCGACTTGTTAAAATACACAGATTAATTTAAGAATGAAACAAGCGACTGTATTTTTGAGTGAGTAATTGAATCATTCACTCAACTGATTTGTTCAAACAGAGTTTCATTCAGGAATGAAACACTGATGTGGGACAAGTCCCCTCCAAGAATCAGGCCAAATTGTCCCCCTCAGTTTTTTTGAAGAGAGAAAAAGAGTCTTAAAGCACACGTCAATGTCAAAACGATTGAGACTGCCAGTCAAATCAAAGAAGGTGGGCTTTACTCTTTACAGAAGCCGGACATGAAATCCAGTGCACCTCTTCAGTTTTAATGGTGAAAGAATGTGAGATAGGCTGTAAGTAGATAAACACTTCAAATTTGACAACCGTGTTATAATAGAAATGACCAATGATAATACAGAGTGATGCAAACAACTCAACTTTTTTGGTCATATTTCAGTGATTTGAATTGAAAATAACCTTTATCATTATCTTTTAGGTGATTTGTGTAATTTGTAATTGAATGTGACAAGACAAGAAACATTAACATAGCCGTTTTTGACATAAGATTAAGTGAATGTTTGCATATATAAAGATTTTTTTTTTTTTGCAGCAGTGGTGGAAAGAGTACGAAAATATTTTACTCAAGTAAAAGTACCATTACATTAATGACATTTTACTTAAGTACAAGTAAAAGTACCAGTCTAAAAATCTACTGAAGTAAAAGTAAAAAGTAGCTCGTTTAAAATGGGAAAATGGGATAGGCCAAGGGTGTCAAACTCAGTTCCTGGAGGGCCACAGCCCTGCACAGTTTAGATATAACCCTAATTAAACACATCTGATAATAAGACATTTGGGCTGTTACCAGGCAAATTAAACCAGTATTAACAAAATTCTTTTTTTCAATGCAGAGGAAACACAAAAGCTTCATCGGAAGTGGCATTTAGATGTATTTACACACTGTTTAATGCAGGACATGAATGCATTTAACCTGCAGTTACAAATGCAGAAATAATGTTTTGATATATAAGACATAAAATCTTGAATACTCATTTGAAATTATATATATAAAAAAAAAATCTAAAGATACTTTAAATGTGAAATTAAAACCCCCAGTAGGTGGCAGCAAGTCACTGTTAATAAGTGAGTCATTGCGATTGAACCGAATCATTTAAACGGTTGATTCATTCAGGAACGAAACACTGCTCAGAGACGCAAAACTGTGAGCAAAACTGTGCTGTGGCTGTGTTTGGAATGATTTTTGTTGGCGAAATTGAGCAAAAACAGGCAATATGGTGACTAAAACGTAAGTCTCTTAATATTAACTTATTGTTTACGGAATCACACTCCAAAGAGAAAGGAAAAATTTAAATCGCATCATATGACCCCTTTAACAGACTGAATCGCGCAGTGAAAGAACACACTCTAAATGCGCGCGCGCACTAGTCTAATCTACTAGACTTCACGGTACTCTGTCTCCGTAGGAGTGGTTTGTTTGGTTTTTGGCAAAATACTGATAATGTCAAATCGCACATCGTTAAAACAACAATTAACATATTGTTATTATTATTAGCACCAGTCTTTTTGGCTAATTTGTGCAAGGCCTTTTGCTAAACTCAGGGTTTCTGCAGACTTGAACAAGTTAAATTTAAGACTTTTTAAGACCTTTTTAATACCACCTTATATGAAATTTAAGACCTAAACCTGTAATGGAAATACACATTTTATTACATACA